ATAACTCAAAAACAAAACAAAATTTCGTTCTGAAAATACGATCACATTTTTTATATTATTTTAATTTATATTAGTTATTATTTTTTGAAGGCAAATGATTAAAAATAAAACCGCTTGGTTCCATACTTTATATTCACCCTGTATGTACTTCAACTACACCACTTAAATGTCATGTTCGAGTGAATTTGTCAATTTGACATTGACAGTAGTCGTTGAAAGTTTTTTTGGTATAATTTGCAAGTATTTTTCGTTTATTGGTTGATTTCTTGCTTTTGTTCTGCGTCTCATTGGTTTCTTTTAAGAATTTCTTACGATTAAGTAACTTTCATGAAATTAGGCATAAATGCCTTGTGTTAGTGTAAAAATTGAAATAATGTGGGGTCACCGATAAAAATTAGCCCCCCATCATCTATTATTTATTCTAAAAATGGGGCCAATCTTATAAAAAACCATTCAAATGCTGTTTTAGTACTTTATTTGAGATATTTGAGGTAAATATGAGCGTTGTTTAAGAAATCCATTATTTAATGAAGTAATTTACAGCACAAACTGAAATCGACATATTATTTTGACTCTCACATAAGTGATTTTCTGGTTTTCATATGATCAGAATAAAAACTTCTTAACGTTTATTGTTGGTTTTCGAAAGATGTTTTGTAGACGTCTTGAATTTCAACTTTTTTTTTTTCTTACCTGGAAGAATGCATAAGATCGTCTATAGTTTTAAACCCTTAAAAAACTCACTGCCTGCAGAACTTCATTTCGAATCTATGAACAAAAACACGATTAAACCCGTCACACCAAACTTTTATTTCAAACACAACGCGTTTCAACAAGGTAGAATTAATTACATTAATTAGGGCCTGCACAGTCACATGTTTATGAAAATAACAAGCAAAATGTCTTAATTGCTGTAAAATGGATGAACGTGCTTTACAACAACACAAATTGGTTTCGATTTGTAACACTTAAGTAATAAAAAAGAGATTCCGTTATAGTGTTGCCAGATCAAAAACATAAAATTCACTAGATCCGAGTTGAAAAATTCGAAAAATTTTCATCAGATTACGATTTGTAAGGCTACAACTCGCAAAAAACGCAATTTTCAGCTTAAAAATCCTCCTCTTCTTAAAAATGCAAAAATAGCATGCATTTCGGCTTAATTCTGTGATTTTTCGAGTCGTGTCTAACTCAAAAACGTGCTAGAATGCTCGAGAAACGCAAAAATAATGTAAATCTAGACTGAACTTTTTGATTTTTTAGTTTATTTTAGCGAGGTCCAATAAAAAAACTTGAGAATTTAGTCCAAAAACTCGCTTAAAAGTCAAATTTTGTGGTTTCTCAGCTTATTTTTGTCTTAATTTTGTTCAAAAACCAGTTAAAAAAAAATAACATCAATATCAATCCTTTTTGTCATTTTTAGGCGTGTTTGGACAAGATTTTGCACAATAAATAAACCTCTGGTTTAAAAACGAAGTCGGGCAAAACAAGCTAAAAAATGATATCAATTTCGACTTAATTTTGTAATTTTTAGCCTGTTTCAATGCAATATTTCGAACTTTTTGTGTTTTTATCTCTCAAAAACATGCTTAAACACTCAAAATTTGTGGCTTGTTTTTAATAAAATTGTGCAAAATAATTGTGTTTCTATCTGAAAAATTATTCGAACAAGACAAAAATAAATTGTCATTTTCGATCTTGTTAACCAATTCGGTGGTTTTTCGACTTTTTTGAAATTCACGAAATAATCAGTTTCTGGTTGAAAACGTGAAAAATACACAAAAACAATTTTTTTCATTTTTAAAAAATTACGCAGATTCTAGAATTTTTACCAAATCACCACTAACTAACATGAAAATTACCAGATTTGGTGAAATTTCACCAAACCAGGCAACACTAAAATTATTTTATTTTGAGTCCAAATCTACTATTTGAAACGCCACATCTCATCGAGTAGTTTTATTCTCCACCTGAGGATGACCACTTTGTGATTGAAACGCGTTGTGTCTCAAATAAAAGTTTGGTGTGACGTCAAATCTATTACATTAAGTTTTAAATGCCTTTGCAAAGAATCGTACAAAGCAACACTTTCATCAATAAACAACTTCTAACTCTTACATATTGAACCTAACGTCAAAAAATTGACATTTTGTCATCGTGGTGAGGAGAAACGTCAGATGACGCACCGGTCAACCCCCGTGATTTTTTTTTATCAAGTGATTTTTTTACGGAATTTGTGTCTTTAGTTCAAGAGCGGAGACACTTTGGAATTGATTTGCAAAGCCCATGGCCACCCCAAGCCGGCGATTTCGTGGCACAAAGGCTCCAAGAGGTTCGAAATCGAGGGTGAAGTTTTAACAATCAACAATATCAAACACCACGATGCTGGGACATACAAATGTTTGGCTGATAATAAAGTTGGGGAGCCGGCATTCGGGCACATAAATATCAAAATCGATTGTAAGGAAACTAAATCTGGGGAGTAAAATGTAAACTTTGAATTTCAGTCAAGCCTGTGATAACCGTTGAGAGGATTAGTGTTAGTTCTGAAAACAACTCTGAGACTGAATTACAGTGCCTSGTCCACTCGGAACCCAAAGCTGCCGTTGTTTGGATCAAAGACAACGTAAATATCGTCAACAGCCCCCGAATCCAAATAGTGTCCAAAGACCACGAATACAACCTCGTTTTGAAAGACTTGCACGATTCGGACTTCGGGGTTTACACGTGTTCCGCCACCAATTATCTCGGGAACACGAAAAAGCACATCAAGTTGGTCAAAACTCCGGCGATTGTTCGCATCACCAAGTCTCGAACGGAAGCCAACGAAGTCGTATTGACGTGGGAAGTGCAGTCGAAATCTAATCTCTCTGATCACGATTTCGTCTACAGGAAAAAAGGGGTAAGTAAAGTCTGTTTTTTTTTAATGGAAATGCCACACAGTCTTAAGGCTCTCCATTAGTGTCTAAAATTTATACGGGAAAATATACAAATTTCACCCATGTGTAAAATCTGTATTTTTTAATTCTACAACAAGATCCACGTCTCTACCTGTAAATAATAGCATAACGTACCCAGCTATGATGTAATTTTTTCAAAATATTACTTAGATTGTCTAAAAAATTACCATTATTGTAAAACTTTGCCCAGGTTTTTCTTTGTAACGGTGCAACATCTTAAAACAAATTTTTTATTGACATATAGATAATTACGTTCAATTTTTTTTATAATACAAGCTAAATTACAAAAAAACTTTAAAAAATGGATGCAACCCCCATTACCCTTGGACCGAAAATCTCAAGCTTCTTCCATGATTTACAGCCGTTATTACCCCCCATCGAGCGCTTAACCCCTAATAATGGTACCTGCAAGAAGCTTTCCTTTTTGTTGAATTTCAAACTGATGATATCTGGTTTTAGCTACATTTTTTTTAAGTCTAGTAGCATTGTGGCCAATTTATAGAACATTTAACTGCATTCAAATTTTAATTCGCGAATTATTCGACGTTTAAGAACGCAAAATGAATGACAACAGAATTCGAAGCAGATACACAGTCTGTCCCCGGATAGGGGAAACGACTCTTGTAAGAGATAAATAAATTACGCTCTAAATTAGCACTGCTTATTAGTTAAAAACTAATTTCTAACATAATTTTAGTTTAAAAAAATCAGGTATACGTTGGAAATTAAAAAAAAAAATGTTTTCTCTAAAGTGCTTTTTTTATGTAGCAATTCATTGAATTCTTCTAAGAAAACTCTTGTACAATATAAAAATATCTCGCTCTAAATTTGCATTTTTTGAGATTTAGCACTGTTTATTAGTTAAAGACTAATTTCTAACATAATTTTGGGTTCTTCTAAGAAAACTATCATAATACAAGAATTCGTTAGAAATTTGATTTAGTTAATCCTGAAATT